GATGTCAGCAAAGTGTTCATCAGCACAAATGTTCATAGCCAGCAGGTGACTAGGCCTAGAGCCGTGGACGTAATAGTTTTGTCTTGTCCTGTGCATCAAAAATTCTGATCGCTGTCTAAGAATTGAATTGATTTCTTTCTTAACTACCTTTAACCTTAAATTAAGCTGTTCAGTGTAATTCGATTGAAGTGAAGCGTCCAGATTTTCCTAATTTGGAGAGTCGAGCCTTTCGCAGATTAGATGCAAAAAGTGTTGAATTGCTCCTGATAAATCCCTTAATCGAGTCCCACAATATCCTAGGATCTTCGACAGATCCTACATTAAACAAAAAATTTTTGGTGATCTTTGCCTTAAATTGTTTACAGAAATCATCATTTTTAAGCAAAGTTGTGTTAAATCGCCACCTAGGGGCCCAGGAAGAGAGTTTTCTTAGTGAGGTGGAGAGTAAGATGCCTTTGTGATCGGAGAGAGCTATTGGCAGCATGGAAACATCAGTGCTGTCAAAGAGATGGGGTGAGGCGAACAAGTAGTCGATTCTAGAAAAGGTCTTATGTCTGAGGAGAAGAAAGAAAAGTCTTTCGAAGAGGGGTTAATCAGGCTAATAGGTTAATAGCCCTGTTTCGTGAGCCCACGCACGCAGAAGCCCTCCTTTGGTCTGTTGTCTCGGAGGCTCCTGATCTATCGATAGCTGGGTCCCATACAGCATTAAAATCGGCCCCCACTATAAACGAGTAGTCTGTCAACTCCATCTCCCTCAAATGAGTTACAGTAGGAGCATATGCTGAGACCAGGGCATTTGACTTTTGCGATAGTTATCCGGCCTGTTGTGTCCGCCCATACATCTAAAACTTTTATATTTAAATTGCGCTTAGCCACTACGGTCACTCCCCGGATTTTAGTACTTGCAGAAGAAGATGCTATGACATGATAGAATTTGTCAGCCAGTCTTCCCGCATCAGTCTTCCGAAGGTGAGTTTCACTCAGTATTGCCAAATCCACCTTTTTCCTCCTCAACAAGCCTAGGACACTGGTGCGTTTATGTGGAGCGTTAAGGCCCCCCATATTCCAAACCAATATGTTTAAATTAGCCATTTATCAATGTGAGCAGTGTGTACCAGTACAATAATACAAGGAATGAACATAAATTGTCGAAAGGACCTGAGGTATCCCGCCCACCCGCAAAAAACCCATGAAAGGTAAAAATAAAAAATAAATAATAAAACAAACATGCACACATATGCCATACATTTTTGCATACATTCACAGTAAATATTTATTCAGTATGATAGCTGTCTAACAGAAGTTAAATCCATTTCTCACTTATTCTGACAATGTACTTAACCCCAAATAAAAGAACCCCATAAAAATAGTTGTTAAATAATAGTGAAGTCACGTTGTAATAACAATAACTCATCTCTCTCAAGTTTTATTTTTCAGCTTTGCCAAAAGCCACTGTGTCAAGTGTCCTTCTTGGGTTGCCGTCCGGAGTTCTCCAATATGGCGGACCATCTTGCACATGCGCAGTACAGATCGGGCAGGGGGACGGATCGGGTAGTGACATGGGCTATCAAGCCCTCAAACAGCGATTCTGCAGCGGTGCTGACTTGAGACCGGTCTCTACCTGACCGGTCTCAACGCTGTGTGTGTCCGTCAGGAAACACGCTGTTTACAAGTAGTTCCAGCAAACATCCACTGATAAATTGCGATGTTAACAACCTCATGATAACCTCATATGTTTGAATTTAGGCCCAATCCCAAACCACTCCCTCGACCCTACCCCTCCGTGACGGAGTGAACTCCGTCTGTAGCCACACTCGCAGCTCAACGAGGCTCCCTCCTGTCAGATGGAGGGAGTAAATACAGCGGCAAGCTTTGGGACGGCCTCCCCTCTCTCCGGCAGAAACAGGAAATGCCGTAACTTGAAGATTATGTCACCTGATATAAGAAGTGTGTTACATTTGAATGGCAGAAAGTCTTGTTGCAGTTTCCAGATATCAAGAGGGGCCCATGAGTCTCTTTGTTAATCATCAATGGTTCTTGCAATTAACAGGGGAACTCCAAGAGATTTTCCTCAGATATAATGCAGTTAAAGTCTTGTTAGTTAATGATTCATTTCCTGCAAGGCTCATAAAGAGGCCTGGAGAGAATAGTCGGTCTGGATTATCAATAAATGTATTCATTCCAAGTAAGCTGACTTTGGGGTGGAATAAAGTTCAGAGGAAGGCCTTAGGGTATGGGAACAGTTAACCTTTGTTAATTAAATAATTCACATAGCTTTCAGAGGGGAAAACATGTGACATTTGTGAGGGGCTGCATGATGAAATGAGTGTGCATTAAAACATGCTGGTAGAGTTCTACTATTTGGAAACATGGCTATAATTACTGCTTAAACTGTACCTGTTTTATGTTTATTGATTTCTCTCTGTTTTATTCTTTCATGTCGTGAGTACTAAATTGCCACAACATTGTGGAGTGGTTGGCTTAAATGTGCTTAATTACTCTGTATGAAGTAGAAGCAGGTTTGCATGACAGAAGATTAGAGATGTGGGAGAAGGAGACATTCTTATTTAAACACAGCATGTCAAGTATCTGAAACAATACATGTTTAAATAGGTGTGTGATATTGAAGTAAATGATATGTATTACTTGTATTGGCCAACTATAAACAGCTATGTCGTAAACATATCTTTAAGATACCTAAAGTATGTGAAACTGTGTGTGTATTGAACTGATGGGGGAGGCCAGAGCAGAGAGGGAACTCTATGCAAGAAGGGGGTTGTGTGTCCAAACTGCAAGAATGTGAGACAGCGAACACCAGATGTGTTTGTTTTGCCCTCAAACTGAAGAGACTCTTTCTCCTGGCTGGCTCGCGCTGATACTCTACGAAAGCCCATCGTTTGTATATGGGCCAATAGATGACCGGTATGGGAGGAGAATCCGCCACAACTCCTCCCCGTTGTTCTTACAATATCTCCTGTTGCGTCCTTGTGTCCGGTCTCTTTTTCCTCATGCCGTCAACATGGTGGGTCCTCCCAGCACTGGGACTAGAGCAGGGGGTACCTCCTTTATATTGTATTGTTGTTTATCATTAAAACAGATGATTGTTTAACCCTTATTCTGGTTCTCTGAATTCCTTCCTTTATAACTCTGACCCAGCTCACCAAACGACACGCAGAGCCGAGGTGGGTTTCAGACCACTCCAACTCCTACAAACTGTATGTAACAACGGTTTCAAATAAGCATCTCTTTGACAAAAAATGTAAATGAATAACTCAAATAAAACTCCAAACATCTTTCATTGTGTTACTTTTTTGTAAAGCTCTTTTAGTTTTAAACCTGATGTTTATAAGCTTCTTAGTTTTTGCAACAGTCTGTAAATATACACAACTTTATAATAAAATGCACACATTTACCTTTTTCTTGACTAAACACAGGTATGATCCTAAGTTAAAAACATGAGGTTATCATGAGGTTGTTAACATCGCAGTTTATCAGTGGATGTTTGCTGGAACTACTTGTTAACAAGGTGTTTCCTGACGGACACACACAGCGTGACTACGGTCAGGTAGAGACCGGTCTCAAGTCAGCACCGCTGCAGACTCGCTGTTTGAGGGCTTGATAGCCCACTCCCCCTCCACACTCGTTGCTTTGGAACAGCCCTCAATATGGCGGACCCTCCGCGTGAACGCGCAAACGGAGGGGTAGTGTGTAGGGTGTAGGGTGCGGTTTTGGATTGGGCCTTAGGATCATACCTGTGTTTAGTCAAAAGGTAAATGTGTGCATTTTATTATAAAGTTGTGTATATTTACAGACTGTTGCAAAAACTAAGAAGCTTATAAACATCAGGTTTCAAACTAAAAGAGCTTTGAAACACAATGAAAGATGTTTTATTTGAGTTATTCATTTAAACTTTTTGTCAAAGAGATACTGATTTGAAACTGTTTGTACATACAGTTACGGCATTTCCTGTTTCTGCCGGAGAGAGGGGAGTTTGGCTGAAGTCGAATAGTCCATTTAGCTAAGGAACTATCCTAACGGAGTGAAATGACCGGGAAGTCAGTACACGACACTACACGACACGGCCCCTACACGACACGCCCACCTGACACGACACTACTGTGGCTGAGAGACCGTACATGGCAGATTAAAAACGAATTGCAAATGTTATTGTAGCATTTTAAGCAACTATTAGGCAAATAAATTAATAACCTATCCGTTTGAGAACCCCTTGGAACCCCTTATCCCATTTTGATGGTTGACATCTCATTTGAACAGTGAAAGCCAGAATTACAGCAGGGGTGAATTTCATTTTATAATTTTGCAATAAGTCAAAGATATGTTTACTGTATATTATAAAAATGCTTGCCATGTAGGCATACTGGAGATGGAAAGGCTTTAGTCAGTGTTGTAGCTGAGATTCTTACTGTTCCAATGATGTATTCATAATAATTGGATACATATAGCACCTTTCATGAGACCCAAGGTCACTTTAAAAAGAAGAACAGGAGTAGAAACAAACATAACAAAAGGCAGTCAGACGAACAGTTAGACAGACAAAACAACAAATAGATTTCAATCAATCAATCAATGTTTATTTATATAGCCCAATATCACAAATGTTACATTTGTCTCAGTGGACTTCACAGTTTGTACAGAATATCAGTATGACAATACAAAGATTTGGGGCCAAAGGCCTTGGCAGACAGATGGGACTTGAGGGCCCTTTTGAAGGCGTCAAGCGTGGGGATGTTGCAGATCTCCGCAGGGAGAGCGTTCCAGAGAGTGGGGGCTGCCATACTGAAGGCTCTGTCCCCAAAGGATCGCAGGTTGGTGCGGGGGGCCAGAGTCTGAAGTCCGCAGGTTCCGGGATAGGGCATGTGGGAATTGTATTGATTTGATACAAGCAAGCCAGTGTTTCATTGTGTACTTTCAACTACAGTATTATGGTCCGGCAAGTTCAGCATTCACTGTGATGTATATAAAATAAGACACTGATACCGTTTTCCTCAATGAACATTTATTGAACAGAACATCATGTGGAAAATCAGAGGGGCACCATTCAAGCTGGTCAACTTAAAAAAAGATTGACCTGCAGGAGTTTAAAGCCTATTTAAAAACTCCTTGGAATCTTTCACTGAAGTCCTTCAGCCTTTGGTGCGCTTCCTCACTCATGTTCTTGGCGAGGTCATGAGAACAAAGTTCCATCTCACTGATAAGACAAGATGGTATAAAGAAGTCATATATGTAATATTATAAATTCACATGCATCAGGGGTTGTACACTTTAATGTGTCCATTCACTAACCGACTCTTTAGGAAGGAAGCTGTAAGGCCTCTTGTTATAGGAGTGGTCCTCGTCAGTGTCCAGGGGCATCTGTAGACAGTCAACCATTATTTTGACAGTGCTTTACATGCACGGTTTAACTCCTCCAAAAAGAACATCTCCTTTCTCCCAATGATTGTTGGGCAAAAGCCACAGTGATAATGGCTGCTGGCCACACATTTGAGATGGCATTTATAAACATTATAACCTAAAAAAGAGACAGAAAGTGGGAGGATTCTAGAAACAAACCAAAATGAATTTCTTGTAAATATGCTATTTGAAACAAGGTGTTTGTGCGAGAGCAATGGCGGCCGGCCCATAGGGGCGCCGCCACCCCTCTTCCCACATGTAATTGTCATTCAAAATTAAAAATAAATTAAAAAATATATTAAAATAAATATTTTTTTATTTTTTTAATTTTTATTTTTAATGAACAAGGTAAATATGTTGGTATCAGTAAAATGTATAATCTACAATAAAATGTCGTTTAAAATTGTTTTACGATGTCTAAAGTTACTGATAAGTCACATGTTTCCTGCCTGGCCACAGCGTGTATCATTACCCTCTCTCGTCCGGGCGGTAGAAAGGAGCCCTCAGCCAGAGCAACAGCAGCCAACAAGCTGACTGTTGCTATCTGTAAACTATGCCGCCAAAACATAATTTCAGCCAATCAGCGTCGTCAGATCTGATGCTCAAAGGGCGCCCTGGCCTGTGTGTCTGTGAGTTGTTTGGACTCGTATCCAAGGTGACGCTACAGTAGTTGTCGAGGATGGCTGCGTCTGCAGGTGGAGACTCCGGTGCTAGTGGATCGCCAGAGCTGTAGATTAACATTTACATGCTTATTGTAGTTGTAAGGGCAATGCCTGTAGCACCATGGAGCATATGTGTGGGATGGACCTGTATTTTACAGGAAAGGAGTGAGCAGAGGGTCGAGTTGTAGATTCTTGTTCAGTTTTCATCTTCCTCACCCTCTCAGACTTTGAGTTGCGCGCGCTGCTAAATAGACGCACTACCATGGAAACCAGTAGCCGTATTAAAGTCCGAGTGGAAACAGTCGTGAGTAAATCTGATTTTGTCAGAAATCGGGAGAAATGCGGGAGAAATATGACCCCGGGAGGAAACCGGGAGAGGGCAATGAAATCGGGAGTCTCCCGCGAAAATCGGGATGGTTGGCAAGACACACACACACACACACACACACACACACACACACACACACACACACACACACACACACACACACACACACACACACACACACACACACACACACACACACACACACACACACACACACACACACACACACACACACACACACACAACACACACACACACACACACACACACACACACACACACACACACACACACACACACACACACACACACACACACACACACACACACACACACACACACACACACACACACACACACACACACACTATTTAGTCTCCTGATTTTAAATGGGAATTAAATCATTTGAGTGTTCCCAAAGCACCAGTGTTCTGCAGTGTGTGTGGGCCTACTGTACTGTTGCACAGTTTTTGAAGATTCATAGCCAACCACACTGAAGAATATGGATTATCTCATATTTTTAAGCCTCAATTTCTCCCCCCCCCCCTCCCCTCTAACATCACCAGAAGTCATAATTTAAGGGGTCATTTCTCAAAAATGTCTTCCAGGGGAGGTTCCCCCCGGACCCCCCTAGTATGGTTTGGTCACCATTTCCATAGCCCCACCAAAAAAAAATTCCACCAGCCGCCACTGTGCGAGAGCAAGAAATAATCATGTCACCAACAATAACATTTTTGCCTATAAACTGAATTTTTGCAGATTGATTGTGTGATTATGCTCATATTGTGCCTACCCCAAATAAGGATACTATTCGAGCATTATTAACAATTCATAACCTGAATATAAATCGAATTTTTTATGTTAAATTTCTAATTCAAAATTAATATACACCAAGGATGTCCTGGGGCACAGAAATAACACATGTATCCATAATGAGTGAGGCATTAAACACATCTAACAAGTAACATGTAATGTGATGAAGTATACAATGATCATATAGAATTATAGATTTACTTCCCTCCATATTTCACAAGTGACCTCTGGTGGCTCTGCAAATGAGCCATCAGACCAGGGTGTGACCCGGTCCTTTCACAAAATGGACACTGGAAGGTGTCCGAGTCCAATTTGTTGAGCTCTGGGCGTGCTCCATCACGGAGTGTTGTGTTGTTTGTCTATAGGTGAATAAAATAGAATACAATTTAAGTGACTTTAATATTGGAAATAGTTAACTCCTTAAACAAGCAGCAATGGACTGGCCTGTATAATCCTATGGGACAAAGCTGGTCATACTTCCTCACTTTCAGAAGGTAACCCTTTAACTGCCAGCGCCACCATTTGGTAGAGCACATTTTGTGTCTTGATATCTTGTTGAATTTAAAAAAAAAAAGTTTAACTCCATCTGATTCAGCCAGTTCTACTCTTTGGTTGATATGTTATGCACAAAACAACCTCTAGATGTCACTGTGGTTCGAACAGAAAGCCCTTCAGCTAGTTTAAATGTCAGGCCTACAGCATGGTCACAAACCCCATCTAAAATCAGAGGCTCTGTCCTAATTACCTGATTGCATCCACCTGGGTTACTTGGCTCTACCCAATAACTACCATTTAACTTTAAACCACACTTATAATAATAATATAATTATACATATGTACATGTCTACAGTATAGCAGCTAATACATGTTTTAAATAAAAAAAACATTCAAATGTGAAAGACACCTTCAATTAATATTTAAAATTTACACAAAATCTGATTCTTGTAAAAATTAGAGTACATGCACTGTTCCATCTGTCAAGCTAAGATATATACATATATCTTAGCTTGACATGCTAACTGAACGTCGAGCATGTCAAGCTAAGAGCTAAGATATATATATATATATATATAAATATATATATATATATATAATATATATATATATATATATATATGTATTCCATTCCTTTACATTTAATATTTAAAATACAAATCAGCAAAATAAACACAATTACACTGCGCTAAACAGCCAAATCGACAAACAAACGAGAACCTAAATAGTAGTGATGTTACGTATTGCGCCGAGGCTTCGGAGCGTGTGTCGAGTAATCCCCGAAGCTTTTTGTGAAGCATGTATCGAGGCTTGTATCGTTTTGGGCCAGTGATGTCATCGATGACAAACGAAGCCTCGCTGCCTGTCGATACCACGTGACTGCTTCACGAAGAGATTCAGATCGGTTGAACCGTTGAACCACAACGCTCATAATACCAATGGATGTATAATAAGAACCATATTACCCCTCCTGTACCCGGGCCCGGTGACACGATGGAATCAAGAGAGCTCAGACCATCACTTATAGAGGTCGGAACATGTCATAAGTATAAATAGATACAAGCATAAATAAATGTAGGAATAAAAACATCAATAAATACAGGAATACATATCTTGCAGTGTTTTCAGGGAGCTTTAGTGTGTGTGCTATGGCTCAGCTGGAAAGCAGTTGACTCATGACTGCAGGGTCCCTGGTTCAATGACTGAACAATACGTATTTTTGTTGTTTATAAAAGCTACAGCTAAATGAGATAATGTAGTTAATAAATGTATTCTTTGATATGGTTTAGTCAATCTCAGGCTACAACATGGTTAAGTTTACGAATATTATTAAGGAATACAAATGCCTCTTTGCAATGTTTACCAGCCTCCTTAGGCTTTTCAATCACAATCATTCAACTGGAATAAAAACAATATTGTTAACATGAAAATATGATGTAATGTTCGTTGTTTAGAGTTATTCTAAGGCTTTACTCAGTACTCGGTATGAGATAGAGCACACTGTTGAGATGTCCAACCTGCCTGTTTTACACACTTTGACCAACAGGGGGTTTGTGTTCAAATGAAGCCCATGATGAAGCCTCATGAGATGAACCCTTTTGCGAACCAATTGGCTGGAAAGCTTCATAAGACTTCATCTCACCATCACTACTAAATATTATGTAATTATATCTAAAACCACAATACGTTAATTACCTGTACTCGGTGCGCCATATTGTTTGTTGTCTGTTGTCTGTAAACCTCCATGTCTCCTTAAATATCCTTGCGTCAGAGTCTCACGTGTTGGGCGTGCTCTCTTCTGACCATATTTGGAAGTACAACTTCCTACAGGTTCAACCTCCACTGTCCGCGGCCGCAGCTAGACCCTTCTCGTTCCAATTCTCTAAATGAAAGGAAAGGAGGTTTCAAACTTCCTTTATAACCTCCTTTAGCTTAGGACTGGATCTCCCTTGACGAAAGGAGAGGAGAAAATGCAGCCCACAATGCCTTGCAGCCGCAGCATTTGCCGTCACACAACAGTCGGCCGTTCACGGAAACAACCGATTATGACCGATAAATGATATCATGAAAGTTATATCATTTTAAAACGTCGGACAGCTATCATACTGAATACATATTTACTGTGAATGTATGCAAAAATGTATGGCATATAGCTGTCTAACAGTTACATTCATTTCTCACTTATTCTGACAATGTACTTAACCCCAAATAAAAGAACCTAATAAAAACAGTTGTTAAATAATAGTGAAGTCACGTTGTAATAACAATAACTCATCTCTCTCGCTTTTTTGATTTGTCTTTTTGTGCTTTGCCAAACGCCAAGGGTCCTATTTGGATTGCCGTCCGGAGTTGTCCAATATGGCGGACCATCTCGCACATGCGCACTACAGATCGGGCAGGAATGCAGATCGGGTAGATAGGCCCAATCCCAAACCACTCCCTCGACCCTACCCCTCCGTGATGGAGTGAACTCCGTCTGTAGCCACACTCGCAGCTCAACGAGGCTCCCTCCTGTCAGATGGAGGGAGTAAATACAGCAGCAAGCTTTGGGACAGCCTCCCCTCTCTCCGGCAGAAACAGGAAATGCCGTAACTGTATGTAACAACGGTTTCAAATCAGCATCTCTTAAACAAAAAGTTTAAATGAATAACTCAAATAAAACTCCAAACATCTTTCATTGTGTTTCAAAGCTCTTTTAGTTTTAAACCTGATGTTTATAAGCTTCTTAGTTTTTGCAACGGTCTGTAAATATACACAACTTTATAATAAAATGCACAATTGTACCTTTTTCTAGACTAAACACAGGTATGATCCTAAGTTAAAAACATATGAGGTTATCATGAGGTTGTTAACATCGCAGTTTATCAGTGGTTAGGGTCAGCTGGAACTACTTGTAAACAGCGTGTTTCCTGACGGACACACACAGCGTGACTCCGGTCAGGTAGAGACCGGTCTCAAGTCAGCTGCAGACTCGCTGTTTGAGGGCTTGATAGCCCACTCCGCCTCCACACTCGTTGCTTTGGAACAGCCCTCAATATGGCGGACCCTCCGCGTGAACGCGCAAACGGAGGGGTAGTGTGTAAGGGTAGGGTGTAAATAAACGTGTCTTGCCATATCGCCTCCAGGCAGCAGGGGGCGCTGCCGCCTCCCGCCCTCCGTAACTTCCTTGTCAGTACACGTCATGCAAACAGCAGCTTTGAGCTTCTGAGCATG